AAGCAGATAAGAGATATTTGTGTAAGCAGAATTATTGGTGGGACAAGAGTGGGGGCAGGACGAGGGGTGGGGGGGGCTCAGGGAAATAACAAAAACAGCACAGGCCGAGACTGAAACACAACACTGGATTTCCAGAGAGAAAGTGCGAAAGGGACGGCAGCGAGAAGAAAGGAAAACAGGACGGTGGGAAAGGAACGGGACACGAGTGGGAGGGAAAGGCAAGTCAAGTTTATGTTGAGAAGGAGAGGAAGCCGGAGGAGGAGTGGGAGCAGAAAACAGGAGATATGGAAACGAGGGAGAGAAGAAGAAGAAGAAGAAGAAGAAGAAGAGGAGGCCAGGCCTTCGTTGGGGGGGGGGTTGAACTTATAGGGCAAGTAGGCAAAACTAAACAGGATGAAAAAAAAAAGCATAGAAGGAGACGTGAACATTCCGACACTTAATGAGCATGTGAACCACATTTTTTCATGAGCTACGTCTCTCTCGACGGGGTGAAGAATTTCTAGCCCTTCCAGACCTGAGGGATGTCAATATATGGAGGATTATATGAGGGTCTGACCCCGAGACGGAGCCGTTTGTTATTTTTCCTCTCTTTATCGTGGAGAGGAGGATTTCGAGGGTGAAGCGAAGTAAAACAGTTTTAAGTAGCGTTTAAACCCCAGGGGTTTTTCCTCAATATTGAATTATCCTACTGTTCTTGGCGCTCAATCTAAAAGAGATTAACTCTTCCTCGGCCTTTGAAGTCGCCTCCTGGACCAAACATCACGCTTTAGCTGCCATTAATATTTTTTAAAAAAGCAACGGCGTCGACTCATCCAAGGAGAAAAGTGATGAATGTGGGAAAAACAGACAAAAACCTCTGGAATAATCTAATAGAAGTGTCGTCCTGTTGTTATAAAACCCAGTGACAGTCGATGGCTAACGCTGCCAGTGGAATCTGCAAATCCTGTCGACCAAACTTGATGGATGATTTATGGGTTTAAAAAGAAGAAGTCGCGCCAGCATTGAATTTCATTTAATTTTCCCAAATGTTTATAAAAAATATCAACAGTAAGTTGTTAAATTGATGGAATGGATGGGGGTTTTTTTAACTGAACAATCGACTGAATTGTTCTCTTTTTTGGGGGAAAATCTGAATCTGCAGGACTGAAGAAGCTGAACAGAGTTATAAATTTAGAAAATGCTAAATCAACAGGGCTGTTCTAAAGCTGTGACCTCTGGCCCCCCTGCCGTCGGTCAGAGGAATCCATTGGGGTCAAAGGTTAAGGCAGTTTAAAACAGCAGTCCTTTGGCGAGCTACATGGACGGGCAGCGGCGAACAGCCACGGAGAACGAGTGCAGACGGTCTGTTTCCATTAAGACACACAGCAGAAGTTCACAGTTGCCAGGTCTCCAGGTCAGGTGTCTGTGTCCACATGTGTGTGTGTGTAGTGGTCAGAGGTCAAGGCCATTTGCCTGGTATTTGAAGCCCCTCAGCAAAACACTAATGTAAGTCAACAAATCACAAGTTTGTTGTACTACAAACGACAGGTGACTGAAAAAAAATAATAGTCACAACTAAATCACAACTACTGTGATCTGGTAACAAAAACAACTGACAACAACTATAAATATGCTGTTGTTCCTGCCACATGCAACTGAATATTTGTGCGTTAAAAACCATGACTTTTACTGATTACTGAGAAACATCCACCAGTATTGTCTACATTGTTGGCAACTGAATATTTGTGCGTTGTCGTGAAAAACCATGACTTTTACTGATTATTGAGAAACATCCATCTGTATTGTCTACGGTTTTATTGACCTGGTTCAGTCACAGCTATAAACAATCGCTCGTGGTTTCCCAAAGACTGGGTCGCGACCCTCAGGTGGGGTCGTCTCGCATCATGTTTCCCAGGAGGTTACGGATAAAGTCTACTGACTCAGGTCACGAAGGTTTGTGACTTTCACAAAAAAATCTGGACCTGAACCATGTCAGGTTGTAAGAAGGACAGATACTGTAATAGATCTAATAGACATCTTAAAAGTCCTGCTCCCTGCAGTGGAGATGAATAATATCATCCCGATAACTCACACCGACGGTGAGCTGAGAGTGTATCGGATTCCGAAAACGGATAAAGAGGGAAAGA